GGGGAAAATCCCAAATTCTGGGGGAAAATGCCCATTTTTTGCCCAGAAATGCCCACGATTACCCATAATTTGCCCAGCAATGACTGGTTTTGGCCATAATTTGCCCATAATTTGCCCATTTTTACCCAGCAATGCCCATTTTTGCCCAGATTTTGCCCATAAATTCCCATAATTTGCCCATTTTTGCCCCTACTTTTCCCATTTTTCCCCAAAATGCCCTTTTTGTGCCTGGGCCCACCAGCTGTTGTAGCCAGAAACCCCCATAATTACCCATTTTTTGCCCAGGACTGCCCCTAATTTGCCCAAATTTTGCCCATAAATGTCCATTTCTGCCACTTTCTGTCCGTACCCACCGGCTGTTGTAGGCTGAAATGCCCATTTTTCCCCATTTTTCCCCATTTTTGCCCGTTTTGTGCCCGTGCCCACTGGCTGTTGTAGCAAGAAACCCTCATAATTACCCATAATTACCCTGCAATGCCCATTTTTTGCCCCTTTTTGCCCATTTTTCCCCGTTTGTGCCCATCTGTGTCGGTTTCTGCCCGTTTTGTGCCCGTTTTTGCCCGTCTGTGCCCACCGCCTGTTGTAGGCAGAAATTCCCAGAAATGCCCATTTTTGCCCATTTTGTGCCCATTTTTGCCCGTTTGTGCCCATTTTGTGCCCGTTTTTGCCCATGTTGTGCCCATTTTTGCCCATTTTGTGTCCGTTTTTGCCCGTCTGTGCCCACCATCTGTTGTAGGCAGAAATTCACAGAAATGCCCATTTTGTGCCCATTTTGTGCCCGTTTTTCCCCGTTTCTGCCCGTTTTTCCCCGTTTTGTGCCCGTTTTTCCCCGTTTGTGCCCGTTTTTGCCCATTTTGTGCCCGTTCTGTGCCCGTTTTCCCCCGTTTGTGCCCATTTTGTGCCCGTTTTTCCCCGTTCTGTGCCCATTTTTCCCCATTTTTGCCCATTTTGTGCCCGTTTTTCCCCGTTTGTGCCCATTTTGTGCCCGTTTTTCCCCGTTTTGTGCCATTTTGTGCCCGTTTTTCCCCGTTTTGTGCCCGTTTTTCCCCGTTCTGTGCCCGTTTTTCCCCGTTTGTGCCCGTTTTGTGCCCATTTTGTGCCCGTTCTGTGCCCGTTTTCCCCCGTTTGTGCCCATTTTGTGCCCGTTTTTCCCCGTTCTGTGCCCATTTTTCCCCATTTTTGCCCATTTTGTGCCCGTTTTTCCCCGTTTGTGCCCATTTTGTGCCCGTTTTTCCCCGTTTTGTGCCCGTTTTTCCCCGTTCTGTGCCCGTTTTTCCCCGTTTGTGCCCGTTTTGTGCCCATTTTGTGCCCGTTCTGTGCCCGTTTTTCCCCGTTTTGTGCCCGTTTTTCCCCGTTCTGTGCCCGTTTTTCCCCGTTTGTGCCCGTTTTGTGCCCATTTTGTGCCCGTTCTGTGCCCGTTTTTCCCCGTTTTGTGCCCGTTTTTCCCCGTTCTGTGCCCGTTTTTCCCCGTTTGTGCCCGTTTTGTGCCCATTTTGTGCCCGTTCTGTGCCCGTTTTTCCCCGTTTTGTGCCCGTTTTTCCCCGTTCTGTGCCCGTTTTTCCCCGTTTGTGCCCGTTTTGTGCCCATTTTGTGCCCGTTCTGTGCCCGTTTTTCCCCGTTTTGTGCCCGTTTTTCCCCGTTCTGTGCCCGTTTTTCCCCGTTTGTGCCCGTTTTGTGCCCATTTTGTGCCCGTTCTGTGCCCGTTTTTCCCCGTTTTGTGCCCGTTTTTCCCCGTTCTGTGCCCGTTTTTCCCCGTTTGTGCCCGTTTTGTGCCCATTTTGTGCCCGTTCTGTGCCCGTTTTTCCCCGTTTTGTGCCCGTTTTTCCCCGTTCTGTGCCCGTTTTTCCCCGTTTGTGCCCGTTTTGTGCCCATTTTGTGCCCGTTCTGTGCCCGTTTTTCCCCGTTTTGTGCCCGTTTTTCCCCGTTCTGTGCCCGTTTTTCCCCGTTTGTGCCCGTTTTGTGCCCATTTTGTGCCCGTTCTGTGCCCGTTTTTCCCCGTTTTGTGCCCGTTTTTCCCCGTTCTGTGCCCGTTTTTCCCCGTTTGTGCCCGTTTTGTGCCCATTTTGTGCCCGTTCTGTGCCCGTTTTTCCCCGTTTTGTGCCCGTTTTTCCCCGTTCTGTGCCCGTTTTTCCCCGTTTGTGCCCGTTTTGTGCCCATTTTGTGCCCGTTCTGTGCCCGTTTTTCCCCGTTTTGTGCCCGTTTTTCCCCGTTCTGTGCCCGTTTTTCCCCGTTTGTGCCCGTTTTGTGCCCATTTTGTGCCCGTTCTGTGCCCGTTTTTCCCCGTTTTGTGCCCGTTTTTCCCCGTTCTGTGCCCGTTTTTCCCCGTTTGTGCCCGTTTTGTGCCCATTTTGTGCCCGTTCTGTGCCCGTTTTTCCCCGTTTTGTGCCCGTTTTTCCCCGTTCTGTGCCCGTTTTTCCCCGTTTGTGCCCCTTCGCCTCTTCCCCTCCGTCCCTGCCCGCGCCGGCCGCTCGGATTTTCTGATTGGCCCCGGCCGCGCTGTTCTGCCCAGCGACGGCGAAAAGCCGCGCTGGGATTGGCGGGTGAGGGCGAGGGGGGCGCTCGCCCTCACGCGCAGTTTCCCGCCCGCCGCGCCGCCGCCATTTTGTTTCGGTGGATGGAGGAGGGGGGAGAGCGCGCGGCGCGCTGGTTGGGGGGAAATGGGTTAAAAACGTGTAAAATACGGAAAATAAACGAAACTTGCTTAGTTTGAAATCGGGGGCGGACGCGGAGGAAGCGCGGAGCCGCAGACTGGGCCGCGTTTCCCTCAGGAAACTCGCATAGCCTCCTCTTGCTGTTCAAACTCCCCTCACGGATTGATCCAATAAAACCCTTCAAAACACCCATTACACCCTTTTAACATTGTAAATATTTATTATTGCCCGCACCAAACTCAAATTTCACCCAGAAAAAGGAGATATTGACGGAGTTTAACCTCAGAAAGCAGCGCGGCGGAGGCGCCGCCATTTTGCGGCGCGCCGTGAGGGGACGTGAGGGAAAAGCAGGCAGCGGCAGGAAGGAAATCCGCGAGGCCATTTTGGTACCGCCGGACAAACCAGCGATAAAACAGAAATTAAAATACAAAAATAAAGATTCTTTGTGATTTTTGAATCTATTTTTTACCAATGAAAGGTCCCCGGTGGGGGTGCACCGTTCCCGGAGGCACTGCAATACCGGGACGATGCGCGGAGCGGAGGGAGCAAGCTCCGGGTCCAACTCCCGAGCCCAAAAATCCGTTTAATATGAAGTCCTCTCATCGAGGACGTATCAGATATTAAACTGATAAGAACAGATACTACACTTGATCTTAGCCAAAAGGCCGAGAAGCGATGCCCGAGCCGGGCCCCGCGCCGCGCCCGGCCCCGCCCGCCCGGCCCGCACCTCACGGACAGCCCCGCGCCGCGCTCGGAAACCTTCACATCCCGTTCCCGGCCTCTGTCCCCATCTCATCCCGCACTTTCCTCCCGGGTCCCTCACGATCCGACCCCCAAAACCCCGAAATCCCCCTTTAAAAATCATCCCAGCATGCCTGTCGCGCATTTCAGCTCGGTTAATGTACATAATCCCGCCCCCTCATGCAAAATAGCCATCCCGTGTTCTTTCATAGCCACGCCCACCGCTTTTCCCCGCCCCGCAACGTGATTGGCCGAACGCGCCCCTTTATTTGCATTCGCCCCGCCTCGTTTCCAATCCGTTGTTGATTTGCATAACCCCGCCTCTTGTCGCGCAAGCCCCGCCTCTCCGTGATATTATGTTAATTACCCGCCCGCTCATTTGCATTCGCCCTACCCCGCCCCCGCCGTTGTCCCCATTGGGGTGAACCGGGAGGGGAGGGGGAGCTCAGGGACCCCCAAAAACCAAAAAAGAACCAAAAAACCACAAAAATCAAAATAAAAAAAACCCCAAAATCCCCAAATCAGCCCCTCCTGACCCCAATCCTTCATCCCAAACACCCCAAAACCTGTCCAGGTGGGGGGGGGGGGGGCGGGGACCCCAAAATC